AATTGATGGATATTCTTTGTGGTCATTTTCTGTCTCCCATCATCGAGAAAATTGCTGATGTGATTTCCATCCTCAGAGCTTAGTTCTGCCCCTTCTAGAACTTCGTATACATAGAATTGTGTAGTATGCACTCCTGATGGCTAGCTACTTTTGCCCAACACACGTATTGGAGCAGGTGTTGTTGGTTATTTTTTATTGCTGAGTATAACATTCTGAGTTCAGATTTACTAGTTTTTTATCTTCTTGGGATGGAAATATAGATTTTTAACTTTACTTCTTCCTTCTCATGTAAAAAAAAAAAAAGGCATTTGTAACCATCCATTTTCTTCTAAGGGCTGCTTTGGCTATGTTCCAGAAATGTTGATACAGTGTTCTTATCATCATTCAATTAGAACTATTTTCTAAATTCCATTTTGATTTCTTCTTTGACCTATGAGTCATTTAGAAGTGTGTTGAATAACTTCCAAACATTTGAGGGTTTCCTAAATAAGTTATTATTATGACAACTTAATTGTGGTCAGAAAACAAGCCATATGTTTTTTTTACCATATATGATAGGGTCCCTCTTAGTGAATGTCCTATGTGTGCACTTGAAAACAATGTATTTAACCTGTCATTGTTCCATGTTCTGTGAACATTAATTAGGCCAGTTTCACTGTTTGAATATTCTACATCCTTACTGGCTTCTCCCTCACACACGCTTATTCCATCAGCCCGACAATTTCTAACTTTTCACTGGAGTTTTAATCATTTTTCTTTTAATGTAATCACCAGTTTGGTAAAGTTTAAGTTTACTTTTTTTTTTTTTTTTTCTTGTCTGTGATTTATTCCTTTGTTTCTCATTTCCTATCTTATTTTGTGTTAAACTGGGATCAGGTTTGTTGTTCTTATATTATTATTATTATTATTATTATTATTATTATTATGTTATTCCATCCTTTCTCTTTTATTGGCTTTGTGGTTATACCTTTTTGGTTATTTTTGTGCATCTTTAACTTGTAATTTACATAAAATTGCTAATATATCACTTTATATACAATGTGAAGCCTTGAACTAGTGTAATTCTATTTATCCTGTATCCTGTTCTATGCAGCTTTGTTGACATATGTTTTCTTCTATATATGTTATAAATCTCACAATGTGTTTTTAGTTTTCCTCTAAAGTGTGAATTGACTTTACAATTTTTAGGAAAAGAAAGAAATCTAGTCTTTTATTCTTACCCACACATTTAACCCTTTGAGTATCCTTAATTCCTTCCTGCACATTGAAAATTCTGTCTTTGGGGCACCTGGTTGGTTCAGTTGGTTAAGCGTCTAACTCTTGATTTCACATCTGGTCATGATATCACAATTCATGAGTTTGAGCCCTGCATTGGGCTCCACACTGACCGTGTAGCATGGAGCCTGCTTGGGATTCTCTCTTTCCTTCTCTCTGCCTCTCCCCTACTCAAGCACTTGCATGTGCGTGTTCTCTCTCTTTCTCTCAAAAATAAACAAATTAATTAAAAAAAGAGAAAATTCTATCTTGTATCAATTTCTTTAGATAGAATTACTTATGTAGTAATTCTTAGCAGTGGAGGTCTATTGGTAATAAATTATCTCAGCTTTTGTTTAAATGAAACTATGTTTATTTTTTTCTTCAGAGCTGGAAGCTATTTTTGCTGGGTATAGAATGTTAAGTTGAGGGGCACCTGGGTGGCTTAAGTGTTCAACTTTTGATTTTGGCTCAGGTCTTGGTCTTACAGTTCGTGAGTTTGAGCCCGGCATTGGGTTCTGCACTAACAGTGTGGAGCCTACTTTGGATTCTCTCTCTCCCTCTGTCTCTGCTCTCTTTACTCTCTCAAAATAAATAAACTTAAAACAAAAGAATGCTAGGTTAATGGTATCCTACTTTCAGCATTAGTTGGTCTCTAACATTTCTCATGAAAAGTCAGCTGTCACCCTTAATGCTGTCCAGGTATCTTTAGCAGTTGAGCTGACTTGGGGTGAGTGATAGCTTTAATGAATCTAATAGGGCCTTGGAATTCAAGCACTGGAAGAGGAAGGAGACATTTGTTTGCTTTTCTTTCTAGCCTGCAACTTCCTGCATTGCTATATGATGATTACTTTTGATCTTGTCAGAAGTTGAACTAGTGAACTTGGTGAGAATTTGGCTGAAGCTTCCTTTAGACTCAGTCTGCCTCCAGCTTTAAGTATTCCCAAGTTAATGTTAGCCTCTTAGCTCCAAGAGGGTCCTGGGACCATGCACTGCATACTTTGAGATCTCAAACTTTGAGACCTTGGGTCTCCTCTGGCATGAGCCTATGAGGCTATGAAACTACAAATTATATAGCTCTGGGACCGTGAGATGTTCAGATCATGACAGAGAGACTCAGAAAGATTAAGTCGCTTGCCTAATGTTACACAATCTTTCCAAGATGTGCCCTTTTTGATGAGAATCCAAGATTCCGTCATCAGAGCACTTAGTACATGAGTTAAGGGATCCTATAAAGGATTCCAGGTTCACAAAATAAATCTTATATCTAGAATTATACAATCAGGATTTAAACATTAGCTTAAGATATATTTGGTCTATATATTACATAGAACTCTGGAGGGGGCACCCCATTGTCCTCAGTGTAAGAAAGATTTTATTGAAAGTTTGGGTTAGATAGAGATACTATAGACCCAGGGCCTTTATGTGCCTGGGAGGTGGGTTGTAGCATCCATGAGTAAGAGGGAGTCCAGATTACTGAATGGAAACTCCCCAGTTAGGTTGTAGAAAACCATGAAATACCTTAATTCTATCCAGGACAATCAGAAACCACCAGTACCTCTCCCCAAGATATACAACATGTATGAACATATATATCAAAGAAGTATGGACAAAAACATACTAAAAATGGAAACCAAAAACTCTAAACTCTATAGGGAAAATTCCTTTCTTTTTTTTAATGTTTATTTATTTTTGAGACGGAGACAGAGCGTGAGTGGGGGGGGGGGGTGCAGAGAGAGAGGGAGACACAGAATCTCTAGGGAGATTCTCTAGGGAGAAGCAGGCTCCAGGCTCTGAGTTGTCAGCACAGAGTCCTACACGGGGCTCTAACCCACAAACTGTGAGATCATGACCTGAGCTGAAGTCGGATGCTTAACTGACTGAGCCACCCGGGTGCCCTGGGAAAGATCCTTTCTTTTTTTTTTTTTTAATTTTTTTTTTCAACGTTTATTTATTTTTGGAACAGAGAGAGACAGAGCATGAACGGGGGAGGGGCAGAGAGAGAGGGAGACACAGAATCAGAAACAGGCTCCAGTCTCCGAGCCATCAGCCCAGATCCTGATGCGGGGCTCGAACTCACGGACCGCAAGATCGTGGCCTGGCTGAAGTCAGACGCTTAACCGACTGTGCCACCCAGGCGCCCCGGGAAAGATCCTTTCTAAGTGAACAAGGGACTGAAGAAGGTTTATACCTGTACCAGTTGTAAAGCTGGGAGCAGGACGTGTGGAAGAGCCAGCCTGCCAAGTAGAGTCATTCTTATTTGCATGAAGAAAAAATGGTACAACCTTGCCTAAATCCGTGGCCTGGATGTTGGATTTGAATCTTGAGGAATTCCTCTCCACTAAGTCATTCCGTTACATGAGAATTTTGTTGCAGGTGTAGCTGCAAATTAGGAAGTGAATGTATTCATTCTTCAGTAAGCCACTTTGTGCTGCGTAATAGTGACGCTATCAATTGCTTATGTCAGAGTTAGTAGCCCCTGGGTGTATTGTGTGTTGCAGAATGTCTGAGTGTTCACAGCTGTGGTGAGGATACATACAGACAAGGTTCAGACTGGATCTTTGAAAATGGATTCAATTCCATTGTTTACATAAGATACTTTACTTGGTGTTCATTTTGGCCACTTGACGAACTAGCGGATCTCCCTTTTATTGACATTGATGGGACATTAGCAAGTATGCTTTATCTACAAATACTTGAATCAGAAAAGAAGGCAAATGACAATTTTTAATGAAGCATGCAAATCCGTGTGCTAGATGACATACTGTCTTAAGGATTAGGGAACCTTGGGGTGATGAGAAAGTTGTCCGGATGGCTAGTGGTGAGGGTTGCACAATGGTGTGAAAGTATTTAATGCCACTAAAATATACATTTTAAAATGGTTTCAGTGGGACGTTTATGTTACGTATATTCTACCCCAATGGGGAAAAGAGATGAGGTGTGAGACTTTGGATTCCATCTCCAGAAAAATTTTTACTCCAGAAATCCCTCATCCAAATGAAGACTAGAGGACATAATTCTGGTGTGCCCAATAGTTCCCAAACTATGTGCTCCTTTGCTTCAACTTCCTGAGAAAATGAGTTACCTAAGAGTCCTAAGAGTCAGAACCCCCCTTCTCCCTCCAGTAACGATTGACATGGCGATAGCTGAAGAGTGTGGGGCTGTAGAAAAACCACAAGCTTTGGAATAGGACGACCATGGAACTGAATCTCAGACCAATTCCTAACCAATTGGATGATGTGAAGATTTCTTTTTTCTTCACCCTTTTTCTCATTACGCTTCAGGTATTTTTTTTTTAATCTGTGAAATGGTAATAATCATAATAGAAAGTGCTTAGCATAGTGACTGGCCTCAACTGATGGTAACAGTTACTTCAATGAAAGCCTTTTCCTTCTAAGAGGAGATGGCCACTTGTCTCCTCTACCACAGGGAGGGACTATGAGCATTAGAAATATTGGAACGTCATGGTATTATTTACTTTGTGAAGCTTTCAGGTGTCATGTCTAACCTTGGGGGGAGAGAGTTCCTCAAAGAATAATGGATAGCATTTCTGAAAAAAAAGGAACATAATGAAGAATTTTTACAGGAGTCGGTTTCTATTTGACATATCTGTGAAATTGAGGATTTTCTTGGAAAGACTCAGTGGAGTAACATATGTGAATTTGCAGTGAGGTGCTTTGAGCTCGGCATGGGAAGGAGATGCAATGGTGTCACAAATCTCACGGGGCCTCCTTTTCTCTCCGCAGACCTTTGCAGGAAACATGAATGCTGACAGCGTGATGCACCATAAGTTACTGCACTCAGTGAGAGCCCGCTTCATTCGCTTCGTGCCCCTGGAATGGAATCCAAGTGGAAAGATTGGCATGAGGGTGGAGGTCTACGGATGCTCCTATAGTAAGTGTAGACACGCACCCTCAACACTGATGTGTTGTGAGCGCCGCCCCCGCCCCCCCCCAAGGGTTACCAGCTTATCTACATTGTGATGGCAATCTCAGGTTGTTTCAAAACTCTTTCAAGCCTTTAATAACTTCTGCACATTTGAAAATGTAAAATTCAACCCAGAGCTAGAAAAACTCTTCTTCTGTCTAGGGATGAAGCAGCTTGGTAGTGATAACGTGATAAGAGCTTAACAACAGCCCAGAGTTCAAAGTGAAGAGCTCTTGAAATGTGAGCATCATTTGTCCTTGAAGTAGAAGAGGAATTTGGGCTCCATTCTTTCCCAGAAGTGAGGTATTACAGGTATGATAAATTCTCCCCTCCTTCAGCACCGTGAAGAAAAAAGGTTCCCCCTCTTCACTTGTTCTAGAAGGGGAGGAAAAAGAGCATTCCAATCTGATGTAACCCAGGGAGTGCTTCTCGCCTGGAGTTATGCTAGCCAAATATTCATCTGTGAGTTGTTCTTGAACGGAAAAGTGGCTGGCAAATAAGGAATATGGTAACCACGGGTAGAACCGGCAATCGCTCTGGAATACAGTCAGAATTACGCAGGAAATGTAATCATTCCTATAATTCTCCTCTGCAAGTTTTATATTTAAAACTAAAAGTAGGCCATCATAAATTAGTTTTCTACCTTAGCAGTGACATCTCCTGCTTATATACTAAAACCCAGTGACCCCTAATGTATGAATGCATGTGATTGCTACCACTAACATGGTTCAACAGATCCTGGTTTTGGTTATAAGAGTGCCTATTGGGTTATGTGCTTGTACCGTTTTTTGGTAATATGGCCAACTGAATGCCTGTATCAGAATCATCTGGAGCGGTCCTTAAAAATGCATTTGCCTAGCCAAGTCCTGTACATACTGGATTATGATTCTGGGCGTAGGGACCTGGAAAGCTGAGTATTAACAAGCTCCCTAGGGAAGCGATGGACATAAGAACATCTAGTAAAAATAAATTTCTTCACAGAGGGGATTTACTTGTGAAATGGCTGTCTTTATCTTGAGCAAGCATTTCCAGAAAGAGTATGTTATACAACAGATACATCAACAGCACACCATTAGGCTAGGGAGACACTGCATTCCACTTCAGCCCTTGCATAACACAGCACAGAATGTCCATAAGGGCACATGCTTCCAATCCCAGGTTCTCTGGCATGCCTGGATTCCCTTGTTGCCTCTTCTCTTGATAACAGGTGTCGCTACTTGGAGGTTTAATTTTAAAACTTTAAGTAATTTTTTGTTACATTTATTTATTTATTTATTTATTTATTGAGAGAGAGAATGAGGGGTGGAGGCAGAGAGAGAGGAAGAGAGAGAGAATCCCAACCAGGCTCCGGACCATCAGTGCAGAGCCTGATGTGGGGCTTGAACTCACGAACCATGAGATCATGGCCCGAGCTGAAACCAAGAGTTGGACGCTTAACCAGCTGACCCACCCAGATGCCCCTTTTTTTTTAAAAAAGAAAACTTTTTTTTTAAGTAATTTTTTGTTAAGTTTATTTATTTATATATTTTGAGAGAGAGAGAGAGAGAGAGAGTCGGAGGTTTATTTTTAAGTAAAAGGTGACACTTTCATGCTGAAGTAAAGAGGTTACCTATGTTATGACTTCAGCCATCTATTTTGGGGTAACAATCCCATTACTGTTTACCATGTCCTCATTGTTTTCTGTCAACCAGTCAGCTTTCCTTTGCTGTTCATGTACATCGTTCTGCATGCATACACAGAAAGACTCCTCGCATCAAGTTGAAGAGCAGACTGGAGGGTTGAAAGAGACCTTGGAGGGATACATTCATCTTTTTCCAGTGCCAGACCCCTTTGAGACTCTGATGGCAGCAAGGGACATCCCCTTAAGAAGAGCACCCACAGTGACATTTTTTTCAGAAGCAGATTTTTCTATAATATTAGGAGGCCCACAGATCTGCTAAAGCCCAATTCTTGACCAGGCTCACAGTCCCTGATTTGGAGGAAGCCCAGTCCTACGGGGTCTGCCCTCCAGGTAGGCTCCATGTCTACTCAGTGCATTCCCTCAAGGGATAACTTATCTTTGGGTACCTATTGTGAGTGATGGGATGTTAGCCACCTTGGGGAGCTGCTGAACACTCGGTCCTTTCCAATCATTGGTCCTGGTGCTTTTTTGCTTTTCCTTGGGGAAAAAAAAGAATTCACCTCTCACTTCTTTTTTTTTGTTTTTTTTTTTTAACATTTATTTATTTCGAGGGAGAGAAAGAGATGTGGGGGTGGGGGAGAGAGTCCAAGCAGTCTTTGCTCTGTCAGTGCAGAGCCCGAAGTGGGGCTCGATCTCACACACAGCGAGGTCATGGCCTGTGCTGAAATCAGGAGTCGCCTCCTTAACGACTGCCCCACCCAGACGATCCCTCATCTCTCATTTCTATCTAAAAACAAGTCTCTGTGTGTCCTCTGGATCAGAGGATGGTCCTCCCTTTCAACAACATCTCATCCTCCCTTTGACTGGGTCATTCCTGTACATAGAAGACTTTGCTCTATAAGCTATCAAAAGGAATACAACAAAAGCTGACTAGCCCTACTTAGCAGCTACTCCTTCTCTCTCTTGCTTTTCACAGAACAGCTTCTCTCCAAGGTCTGTGTGTGGTTAGCACCTCCACCCGCTCACACCCCAGCGCACTGCACCTGATTCTCTGCGGTCTGGACACACATGGTGTTCCATTCCAGGTGTCTGCTTGGCTAGCCAGGGTCCCAGGATCCAACCAAACACTAACCTAGGAGTCGCTGGGAGGTGGTGACCATCTGCAGTCACTGGGCTTTGGGGAAAGGAGAATATTCTTGATGTCTGGGTGGGCCAGATTCAGTCGGTCGAAAGATTTTAAGATCAGAACTGAGGTTTCCCTGAAGAAGAAGACATTCTACCTGTACAGTGTAGCTTCAGGTCCTGCCCGAGTTTCGTCTTCCCCTTCCTGACAGCCCGCCCTGCAGATGAATTTCGGACTTGCCTGGGCGGCCCCCACACTCATGTAAGCAGTTCCGTGTAGTGTATCTGTATCTGTATCTGTATCTGTATCTGTATCTGTATCTGTATCTGTATCTGT